TTCTCAGTTCACTAATTCTCTCCTAAACTGTGTTAAATCTGATGTGAAACTACTCCATAGAGTTTTTAATTTTAAGTATTATAATTTTCATTTCTAGAAGTTTCTTTGCTTTCAAAACTTATTGTTATTTATGGTTTCTTGTTCTCTACAGATATTTCAAGTTTTTATTTTATTTTTTAAAGCATAATACCTAGTTATACTGTCATCTCTGGCTAAAAATTTTATTATCTGAGAAATTTGAATGACCATTTCCATATCTATGATTTCTCCTGGATCTCACTCACTCATGGTGCCTCGTTCTTTCTGGTTTTGTTTGTTTGGTTTTTTGTTTTGTTTTGTTTTTTACTGAAATTCTTTGACACGTTTTGAAGAAATGCTTTGATACCTGGGATAAAGGCAGTTTACTCCAGACAGTAGTTGCTTTTACTTCTGAAGGGTGCTTTGTAGGACTGCTCTAAGTTAAATTCTCAGCTTGAAATACCTAGGTAGTGTATCCCAACTAAAATCCTTTGTGAGCACCACTTATTGGTTCCAAATTCTGTGTCAATTTCTTCCCCACCTGTTATCTAGCACCAGACATTCAATTTTCCTTTAATTCTTCTGGGCTTGTTTCTGGTTCGTCCTTACATGGAGGGTATAACTCTTTGGGATCTACTATTAATGGGGGGGAGAAATTTCTGTTAGACTCCCTACCTTAGGCATGCTCTGGACTCTTGTTTCCTGCTCCCCATACCTCATGAGACATTATAACCTACACTCAGATTCACTGTTTTGCAAATGTCTTTAGAGAAAAAGTTGGCTTCAGCATTCTGTTTATCTCTCTGAATTCCCATAGTTATTTAATTCTTGGCTAAGGAATTGCTTACTATATTGACAGATTATCAATGCACTTAATATTTTATTATCCAGCATTTTTAGTGGTATTTGATGGAAAGAGAGACCCAAAGAGGATCCAATATAATCGACCATATTAACCTCTCTTCTGATATTTTTCACAAATGCAAGGCCCATTTCATCACTAAGTCATGACCTCCCCAGTAGAGGACAGATATTAGACTTGCTTTTTAATCTATTCTAGAAGTAAAGCATTCTCATTAAAATAAGTTGAAAAATATAAAAAAGTTTAACTCTAAGATTAGAAATTGACTTTAAATCAATTTCTATCCAAATACATCCACTATTATCAACTTGGTCTATTTCCTTTCAGTCTTTTTTTTTTTTCTTCTACTTCTTCCTAATTAGAAGTTTTTATATTAATTCTGAGATTAACTANGTATAACTCTTTGGGATCTACTATTAATGGGGGGGAGAAATTTCTGTTAGACTCCCTACCTTAGGCATGCTCTGGACTCTTGTTTCCTGCTCCCCATACCTCATGAGACATTATAACCTACACTCAGATTCACTGTTTTGCAAATGTCTTTAGAGAAAAAGTTGGCTTCAGCATTCTGTTTATCTCTCTGAATTCCCATAGTTATTTAATTCTTGGCTAAGGAATTGCTTACTATATTGACAGATTATCAATGCACTTAATATTTTATTATCCAGCATTTTTAGTGGTATTTGATGGAAAGAGAGACCCAAAGAGGATCCAATATAATCGACCATATTAACCTCTCTTCTGATATTTTTCACAAATGCAAGGCCCATTTCATCACTAAGTCATGACCTCCCCAGTAGAGGACAGATATTAGACTTGCTTTTTAATCTATTCTAGAAGTAAAGCATTCTCATTAAAATAAGTTGAAAAATATAAAAAAGTTTAACTCTAAGATTAGAAATTGACTTTAAATCAATTTCTATCCAAATACATCCACTATTATCAACTTGGTCTATTTCCTTTCAGTCTTTTTTTTTTTTCTTCTACTTCTTCCTAATTAGAAGTTTTTATATTAATTCTGAGATTAACTAGAGAAATCATTAATTAATGTGAAGGGCTATTCAGCAGCTACTGAAAGTAGTTGTTTATAAATTATTATATGATAATATGAAGAAACTCTTTTGATGCAATGCTAAGCTGGTGTAGTGGGTTGAATTATGTCCCCCCAAAACTCATTGATGCTTGAATTGTGTCCCCCAAGTTTTATGTATTAGAAACTTAGCCCTCACTGTGACTGTTAAGAGGGTAGGAAATCCTATTATGGTAATTGGAAGGTAGAGCCTTAAAGAGGTGACTGGATGGTAGGATTGTGCCATAGTGAATGGATTAAAAATGGTGATCAGGACGTGGTTTTGAGGGCTTTAAAAGAAGAGAGTCTGTCTCTCTTGCACTCTCTCTGCTTCCACCATCTTGCAATGTGAGACCCCTGGGTCACTGTTACCATCACCAGATGGACTATGGGCTTCCCAGCCTCAGAAACTGTAAGCAATAAGTTTTGTTTTCTTTATAAATCACCCAGTTCCAAGTATTTTGTTTTAAGCAACAAAAAACAGACAAATACAGCTGGGCAAAGACTATGGAGAGCAACTGAATGGGAGTAGAGCTGAAGGTATGGGGGAATGGACACAGGAGGGCTGTTTTCCTGGACTGCTCATTCTAGGCATCAGCAGGAGCCAGCCAGGTTGTGTGGCACTGCAGCCCCAGAAGCAGGCACTCTGTAAAGGTGTTTTTACTGACTGGCTAACAGTAGGAGCCCCCAAGCACAAATGGCCCTGGAACAGCAAGTGGAGAAATACTGTTTTCTTGCCCTTTATAAAGACAACAGAAAAATTAATAGAGGATGACTTGATTCATGTCATATAATGAGAATTGGACACAATTCCCTTACAGTTTACCATAAGCTTAATGATGGACAACAAACTTCTCTCTAAGGGGATTCTCATATCAATTTCTAAACTCTCTTCCCTACCCCCAGCTAACTGAGGAACCAGTGGAAATCTTTAACCAGGTGTAATTAAGGCCAGAGTCAATGCCTGGTGTTTTTGCTCAGGTGTCAGTGAGCATGTCCATGTGTCCCTCACTGTCCGCAGCGATGCCCCGCAAGTCTTTGTGGTGTGGTGGGTGGCTATTATCCAGAGTCATGGCCCTATTCTGGCCTCTGATTCTGCACTTGCCCGGAGTTTACTGTGAGAATGGAGGCTTTTACCAAGCCTGTCATTAAGGAAATTTTGCATTCCCCCAATACCCTCCACAGAAGGGCTCCATCTAATTACTAACACCCAGTTTTTATTTGTGTTTGTCAGCTGCTCTTTGTCCAGGTCACAGAGAGGGTGTTTTAAGCTTTGCTTCCAAGATGAGGAGAGTAACTTTCAGATTAGGTCTCAGGTGAACATGGACCCCCATCACATAGAGAAGTAAATATGGTACTTACTGTGTAAGAGAATTAAACCTGCTCCCTGGGGACCCACTCACTGCCAGGAGAGTGGTAAGATTGTTGCTGCACTGTTCTGTTCAGCACTGCATATCCTAGAACCTGAGCCAGAGCCTGGCTCTTAGTAGGTGCTCCATAAATACACTTTGACTGACTGACTGACAGTGGAGCCCAGATACTTCTTTTTAACAAATTAAAGAACCACACAAATATATATTTTAAATGTTTACAAATAGTATTTTTGCTCTTCTGTGGAACTTAGCACATTTGTGTTTATGATGAAGACTTTTTGGGTCTTCATCTTGTCTTGGTAACAAAACCATTAGTTCCATGAAGACAGGAGCCCACACACCTCTGTCCATACACCTCACAGGCTAGCATAAGGCCATGCATATGCTTGGTTGGTGTTCAGTTAGGTAGGTAGGTTGGTTGGTCAATTGAATGAACATATGAATTCTGGGTCCATGAAATCATAGACACTTGCAATCTCAGAGCTGGTGGGGACAATGGATGTTGTTCAGAGCTTGAAGCAATAGATGTTGTTCACTGCCCCAAGATGAGAAATGCCTAAGAGATGGTTAGCCAATACCTATGAAATACAGTGGGTCATGCCATACCTAAAGGAGGCTAGACACTCTTTAGGTTGAAAGTAAGCCTGTTCTCACATTTGGGAACCCCATCACAACCCATCCAACCCCCATAGAACAGGTCTGTATTCAGGAAGGATCAAGCCTATAGCTATGGAACAGAGTAAAGATGGCAAGACTACCTCCCCAGGGTAAGATCCCTGTGTGTGTATAGCACATTGATACTCAGGGACCATAGAAGGCTGACCATATTTTTGAGTAATGTATAACATANAGCACATTGATACTCAGGGACCATAGAAGGCTGACCATATTTTTGAGTAATGTATAACATAGAAAGAAGGGTCTCTGAAAGCAGTTTCCTGGGAGTACCCCATCTTAATGGAATAAGCTGCTTTGTGTTTTTCCCAGAACTTTGGTTTCTGGCCAAGATTTTAGGTGAAAGGTGATGAGCACACCTGCCAGGACCTGACAGTCTCTGTTTCTCTGCAGCTGAGAGTCTTCAAACTGGCCAAGTCCTGGCCAACTTTAAACACACTCATCAAGATCATCGGAAACTCAGTGGGGGCGCTGGGAAACCTCACCATCATCCTGGCCATCATTGTCTTTGTCTTCGCTCTGGTTGGCAAACAGCTCCTCGGGGAAGACTACTGCAAAAATCGGAAAATGATCTCCACTCCCAATGATGAATGGCCCCGCTGGCACATGCATGACTTCTTCCACTCTTTCCTTATCGTCTTCCGTATCCTCTGTGGAGAGTGGATTGAGAACATGTGGGCTTGCATGGAAGTGAGCCAGAAACCCATATGCCTCATCCTTTTCTTGACAGTGATGGTGCTGGGGAACCTGGTGGTGAGTGGTGAGCCACACTGGGGACACCATCTCATGGGCAGTGGAGAAGGCTTCCAGGTTATCCTTAAAAGCTTGGCCTTGCACATTTTCATGCCCACATTGTACCTTCCCTGGTTGGAGAGGCTTCAAATTTTTCAGCCCCATGGGGCATATTATAAGAAGTGTGCTTGGGAGATAACCTACCTTGCAGGAACGAGCATATATGATAGACAAGGACAGACCTGGTGTAGAATTTCAGCTCTACCATTTACTAGCTGGGTGACTCAGGACAAGAGACTTAACCTCCCCAACCTCTAATTTCCTCAAAATCAAGAAAATAGTGCTTACTCATGGACTTACTGAGAGAATTAAATTACAGGAGATGACATATGCAAATTGCCTAGGGCAGTGTCTGGGCTGAGGCAGGAACTCAATAAATGATAGCTGTTAGTTGTTGAAGGAAAAAAATTCTTCCCAACTCTAGGGGGCTCAGAAGATATTTTTCTTCAGGGGAGTAAGAGCTGACAGATTTCTCCAAGTTGTACAAGTCCTAGATAGGAGAGAAGTTGGGTCATAGACCATATCCAAGACCACAAGGATGATAATAAAATCTTCTCTCAGAGTGGGGGAGACCCTCTGTAGCCCTTCCTGTCAATTAGCCCAACGCCCCTTCTCTGTCCCAGCCTGTCCCTCACCCTCACCATATCTCCACTCCCTCTAGCTTAGACATCTTTGCCCTCCCAGCACTGGCTGACTGTGGGAGGATGTGGTCTTCCAGGAGCCCCTTTCTTATTGCCCTGGAAGTCAAAAGAACTTGGGTTCTTTTCCCATTAGGGTTTTACAGACAGGAGAAAGCTAAACCAAGAGATGG